TGAGCCCAGGTCTCCTTGGATGTGATGTGAGACTATCTGTTCTGGTTTGAAAAAGATAAACCCCAGGCTAGCTCCCCTGGGATTTCAACAGAGGACCAGTCTCCATGTGGGTGGGGGGTAAGCTGTATCTCACACACTGATGTTTTCTCTGAAGGGTCACTTTCCTTCTGGGATGTGGCTGCTTATGACTTCTGCCCCCATCATGCTGTCTGCAGGGGTCTGCTACCCCTGCCCCCAAGGCTTCACCAGCCCTCTATACCTGTTCTCTGTCTCTTGTTTCTGTCTCCACCAATGGTTCTTGTACCTGCCCAAGTGCTGAAGTCAGATACAACATGTCCTCCTTAACTCTCCTTTCCCTTCCTCCCATACGACACCCATGAAGCCCTTGCCAGGTTCTGGATACCAGCAGGCTTCTGATTTTAAGTAAGTGGTTGTGTATATCTGGGATTTAAGTGTTAATGGAGCACTAATGGGAGAGGCCGGGCAGGAGGGCCAGGTTATGGAGAACCTTGTTTCTTGCTGAGGTGTGAAGAGCTACTGAGGGCCACATGCAGTGTGTGGGACAGTGTGTAGTAATGTGGAGCTGGGAGACCAGAAAGAGGTGTTGTGACAGTCTGCATGGGAGGTGATGGAGCTCAGGAGGAGTGGATGGATTCGAGAACAGTCAGCAGGACTGAGTAGCTGGTTGATTGGGTGGTGGGGAGGGGATGTAGAGAGAGCTAGGATGACTAATGGCTGACTGTATGGGGTTGGGTATAGCCACCAACCAAGCTGGGGGAAGCAGGGCTGTGTGTGTGCCTGTGTGTGTGTGTCTTTCATATTTCTTTGATTGCAGCCCATGGGAAGAAATGAATGTTTCATGCTCAGTGAGGACCCACATCTATGCACTTGAGTCCGTAAATAATAAAGACACACATGGCATTTACTAAGGTCAGGCCTCTTCTGAGTGTCCCTTATGTATTACCTCATTAGTTGTTACAACCCCATGAGGTGTCAGCATTTTCTTCCCTTTTCAAATGAGGAAACCATGGCCCAGCAAGTTGAGTGACTTTCCCAAGACCTCACAGCAGATAAATGGCGGAGCCAGGATTTGAACCCTGTCCCCTGGCTCCAGAGTGCCTGTTCTTTACCACTTTACCATATTTCACTAGGACAGAGAAGAAAATGTATCAGAAAGTAATACTTACCCTTCATATACGCAATGCTTTATGACATTAGGTATTTTATTTTATTTCTGTTTCATCCCAAACAGTGCTGGCTAAAACCCTCTACATTAACTTTCTGACCCTCTCTAGTAGATTGCAAGCTGCTTTTTTGAAAAATACTGTGTGCATCCTGCCTCCAAAGCACCTCCCAGCTCCTCCTCCCCACCTCCTTCCCAGCCATCAGTCTCTAGTTCAGGCTCTTACCTGGACCTTCCTTCTTACCTGGATGACTACAGTGGCCTCTTGACTTTTTTCTTTATCCATTCTTGCTTCCCCCAAGTCCATTCTTCATGCTGATACCAAAGTAATTTAAGAAATATATGTCTAAATCCTTAAACACCACATTGCTCTTAGGTGCCTAGTGCTTGGTGCATGGATGATGATCAGTAAATGTATGGGTGAAGAAATGAGTATAAAGGCTGTTGTGTGCCTCTCCGCAGGATGAAGATCTTCTCCCAAATAAATATTTTGAAGTGGACATTCCGATGATATCTCAAGAAAGCTGCACAACAAATAAGTGTGGCTTTGGCTGGGAGAAAAAGAGTTGGGTAGAATGAGACCCAGCTATCAGTAGGTAGCAGGTTTGAATGCCAGAGGCCTCATTTGAGGATGTTGCTTTCCTCTGACCCCCATCCCGCTTTCTTTCCTGCCCTGGGACCCTCATCTAGCATGTTGTGCAGTCTTCAAAATGCTGTGTGCCGCCTTTTGGGACTCTTCTATCCATTAATATAATTCCTCTGAACATTTTTTAAATGACCTATCATAGTTTAATAATCGAAATTTTTGTGTGTATTTTGTTTACTTCTTTATCCCCAGGGCATAGAAAGTCGCGTATCCCAGAATAGATGCCTTGTAAGTGGGTGTTTTCTGTGTAAATGAATGAATGGAAGGCTGAAGTTAGTTGTTATACATGAGATATTATGACGGCCATCTTGAGTCCAGTATTCAAGGAGTCTGGAAAGTTGGAGATGACTTGTTTGCTAATCTTTGCTGCGAGCTTTTCTTTGCCTAGTACCATGTTAAGTGCTTCACTTGGATTCTCTCATTCAGTCCTCACAGCAACTCATGAATTAAGTGCTGTTGTGATCCTTTTTTAGCAGTCAAGGAAACTGAGGATTAAAGAAGTTAATTTGTCCAAGGTCACCTAGCTGGGAAGGGGTGGGGCTACAATGTAAACCCTGACTTGAAGCTCAAGTTCAAGGCTTCTTAATCATTTTACCTACACTGCCCTTCCCCCTGCCCTTCTAAATGAGTCATTTAAATGAAATCCTAATTCTTATATCTAAAAATTTTTAATAAACATAATAGTTTTAGCTTCTACTCAGAGGTAGAGTCAGGAGGATCTCTCAATGCCAGGAGTTGGAGGCTTCAGTGAGCTATGACCACGGAGCAAGACCTTGTCTCATAAATAAATAAATACCTTATTTTTATGTTTAAAAAGATTTTAATAAATGTGAGTTTCAGCTTGTGCTTTAGAGATGTTTAATCCTTACACACTGGAAATATTTTTCAAGCTTTATTTTTTCTAGTTTGTCCTATAAGTTTTTTACCCTTTTCTTATATAAAATCATACTTATATTAATATGCTTTTTAACTGATAAATAGCAATTCTCATTCTCTGGGAACGGCAAAGTACTACTGAGCTGGTTAGAGCTCTGAGTGAACGAAGCTTCACGGGACTCTGAGTCAATTCTTTTTATCATCCATGACAAATCACAGCTATCTCAAAGTTTTGTTTGATAATAGGAAAGAAACTAATGGCCTAAAAAACACTGAAACATATAGAAAATTCTCGTGAGCATATCTTTAGCTATTTTGAGGTATAGCAAGGTTTAGCTGTCTAACAGGAGACCCGTATCCACTGAATTTTTACTGTGTGTAGTGTCTACAATTAAACCAAAGGCCTCTTTAGCATGGTTCCTGCTTTAAACAATAGCAGTATGTATTTCCCATTTCTTTTTCTTCTTTTATTTCCTTGAGACAAGGTCTCTCTCTGTTGGCCAGACTGGAGCACAGTGGCATCATCACAGCTCCCTGCAACATCAAACTCCTCGGCTCAAGTGATCCTGCTCCCTCAGCATCATAAGTAGCTGGGCTACAGGCACCACAGGCTACACCACCACGCCCAGCTAATTTTTCTATATTTTGCAGAGGTGGGGACTCACTATGTTGCTCAGGCTGGTCTCAAACTACTGGCCTCAAGTGATCCTCCCATCTCAGCCTCCCAACGTGCTGGGATTATATGCATCAGCTACCGTGCCTGGCCTGGATTTTTGTATGTAACTTTAATGCAGCACCATTGACATTTGGGGCTAGATAATTCTCTGTTACGGAGGCTTGTCCTGGGCATTGTTTGACATTTAGCAGCATCCCTGTCTTCTACCCACTACATGCCAGCAGCACACCCTAGTTGTGACAACCAAAAACGTCTCCAGACTTTTTCAGATGTTCCCTAGTGGCGCAGTTGCTCTAGTTGAGAACCACTGCTTTAAATCCGTAATGACCAAGCCTGAGTAGTGAGGATTTTCGTAACCGTCTTTTCACTCTTGCCATGTATAAATTGATTCTTAAGTTTTTAAACCGTATTATGGTGTTCTATTTTTAGGGTTTCTCCATTCTCTTAAATTCTCTTAGAAATCAAACCTCTAAAGAAGTATTGAGCACAAAGAACTACTAGTAGCAATACAGAGGTTTTACATCAATGTGAATTGGCTTTCCAGAACAGGGTGAGTATGGTCTGTTCCTTTAGAAAGTTCTT